TCTAACACTTAAAATTGTTGTTTATAAAATGCAAAAAACCGTTTTAAAAAAAATTGTAAAATGACTGAGATATCTTGTTTTAAAAGTTGGGCAAAATTTTAGTTGTGACCCGTTAATTAGTTGAATTTAGTTAATTAATCAAATTTTGAATTTAATCAATTTAAAATGGATACTGTTAAAAACACAAGACAAAAATATTTCCATCGTATGCAATAAAAAGAGCGTCTCTCGTAACTCCCAATCCTGTCATATTTAAATTAAATGTAAAATTTGTTTCAAATTTTCTTGTAAGATCGCTTTAATTGTTTATAGCACAGATTGTTTTTGGAAATACTTTTAACTTAAAAATAACTCATGAATAATTAATGACTTAAAACGCGCGTAAGTTTTTCTTGCTTAATGTCTTTTAAATGTGCAGTGGTAGCAAACTTGCTAACGCAAGTACTACCACTGCTTCGAGATAACACAAGTATGCTTAAACTCACTATTATTTAGTGAGGATGGAAGAAAAGAAAAAAAGTAAATTTATGAGCACTCCTTATTATAAATGCATAAAAGGTGGGCATTGAATGCAAGTTTGTAGCTATTGCATCTTATATAAGACTGAAAAATGTTTGTTAACAGTAAATAGCAGAACATGAAACAGTAGTACATTGCTCATTTTTTCCTATTCATTATTTGCAAATATATTTGCGGTCGTTTTTTATTTTAATTTAATCTTTTTATGTATGACTTTCCAAAACTAATAAGAAGTATTTTAAAATAAACTTTTATTGTAAATGGCTTTTTGTTTGTTGCCTTTTTAGATCAAAATCAAAAGCAAAGTTTATTTACTTTGCTTTTGATTTTAATTGTTTATTTTGGGTTTTCTAAAACATGCTTTATAATTGACAGACAATTTTGTGATAAATATATTTTTTTAAAAATACTATTGTTGGTGACGAAATCGGTAATGATGCTAGCAATACCGAGTGTGCCATTGGCAACAAATTAAAAGAAGCCAAAAAATAATGTTTTTTTTAGATGGTATTTATATATTAACATTGTCAAAAATATTACTCTTTTTAATTTTTGTAATGATTTATGTCAATACTGGATTTAATTAATTATGAAGTAGCCATTATATTATTCTAATGAGGGTTGCTACTCATGTTAAATCCTGAAAAAATTAAATTTAGGTTTTGTGGGAAAAAAAAAGACCATTTCTTATATCAAGACTCCATTTTTTATAGTTGCTTGAAATGGAGTTAATATGAGAATGAGCTAAATAAGATTAAATGCTGAAGAGTAATCCCACGTCAAAACAACCAAAAAAAAAAAATGCAACTCTATGTACTTGGATTTTCCTTATATTTTAACCATAGTTAGTACATAAAATAAAATAAATCCCAAAATTTCAAGGTCTAACTCCCAGCGGTTCGTGAGTAATGGTTCTTTCAATTAAGGCTACTATTATTGTTTTCATCATTTTCTGCCATTTTTAAATTTACATTTCTCCTTATAAAACCAAGTCTTTAAACGTGTGAATTCTAAAAATAAGTGACTATAAGTAAAATAAGTAAAAATAAGTGACTTAGTTAATCTTTAGGTGAGGAATTTGAATATATAAATAAAAAACTCATTTTATAATTTAAAAGTACCTAAATATCAATTATAAATGTTAAAATAATGGACACCTGCCTAAGTAAAAATTTGGGGTGTGCGGTAAATGTTTTAATCTTAAAATTTCAAATTAGATCATTATATGTTTGAAGAACATTGTGTGAAAAAATCATTTCTGCTAAATGCATAGTTTAAAAATTTAATCAAAAATATTACAAGAAAAGCAAATATAGCATATTTCACTTAATGATGCATACTTGAATTGATATACAATTTTATATAATGTATCCATTATAAAAATTATTGATTTACAAACAGATATACTTATTAATTTCGTTAAAATCTTTTTTTTAAAGCTCATATTTGTCTGATACTATTGTTGGTACACTTATTAATGATATTACATTGGTGATTGGTATCCAACAATAATCTTCCCTTTTCAGCCAGAAAAACTGTTCAGATGTACCATGTGGATGCATAAACTTCATTTTTATATTATTATATTTTTCATCTTTTTCTTCGACTACTGCAAAACAAGTCATACATACATGCATAATATTCGTACTATTGCATTAACTCAAAATTGATTAAACTTAAACTTGATTTTTTGGTTATATTAATAGATTTTGCATTAATATTGTTACTAGTTTTCTTAAATAATATACATGTTTTCGAAACTGGTATGCAATGATGAAATCTTTGAGTTCCTGTTACTGTTTTTTCCTTCTCAAACCGTTTATTTTGCGCAGCTCTAAAATTAAACATAGTTTCTTTATCGATTTTAAAGAACTTTATTGTTTGCATTTTTTGAGTGCAAGATTCAAATATTGCATCGATTGTTAGTATTTGATTTTTCGTTGGATGTTGCAAACTTTCTCTTGCTGTTGTTCGCTTTACTGTCCCATCTATTGCATCACAAGAAGATTTGCCATGACTGGTTGCAAAAAATATCCATTCAACATCTAATAAAAAATCTTCTGAGTGATGGCATAGATTTAGAAAGTTTTTATAATTTTTATACTGTCCTCCACATCCATCAGAAAAGTAATACAATTTGAAAATTAACGATAGGGTTTCTTTGATATACTTACATAAAATAGACTGAATTTGATAGACAAAACATGTATTGTGTATCCTTTCACCAGACATAAAACAAAAAGATTTGTGTAAAATAGTGCCATTTACTTTAGTTACTTTATTTAGTATAAGACAACTGGGTGAAGGGTGCATCCAGATTTAAGGGTGCATCCATATTTACACCAATGATAACTTTGGATCTCATCTTGCACAACAAATTCATAATTTTCTGAAAAGTTACAAATCACTATACACTCTTTTTCACTTAATTTGAGTTTTAAATCTTTAAGAAATTTTGTTTAGCATTTAGAAATATACGAGTGAGCTGTTAGTTCATCAATACACTTCACTACTAACTCTATATAAGTTTCAACAGTTTGTGTGATGAGTTGGGAGCTGTCAGTACCTTGCCACTGATTAAAACTTAACTTGTCATCAAAATCAAGTTCTACAAGCTATTTAAGAAGATATTCTCTTGAAACATGGCTTTATATTTGTAAATTTAACATGATGCGAGGTTTACTCTATTAATCATTAGTCAACAGTTAGAGAGAAGCCGGAACTTAATTAAGAAATGGTGGGAATTTATCTTTTAATCAAAATAAAAATAATTTTGTTTACTGTTAACATAATAAAACCAGTTACTATTATCTATTGCTTGTTTTTTACTTGTTTTAACATGCTGCTTTGAAAACACTTTCTTTTTCTCTCTTTAAAACACGTTCTTTTCTCTCTCTTAGGTGAGAAGGAGAACTAATAAAAACTTATGTAATTACTGAGCTCTTACGTATTTCTTATACAACAATTGATAATGACTATTTATAAGAAATATCTTATGAGTTGTTTGCTATTTTAATATATAATTGTTCAAATTAATAACTATAATTGTTTTCGATTGTTCAAATATTTTAACAAATAATATCTTTTTAGCTCAAGTATTTTAATTAATAAAATATCTTAATAAGTTGTGATGTTATTACGTTGTGTTGTCTACCCTTATTATAATCTTTTCTTTTTTAATTATTCTGAAGACACACAGTAATGTGTGCTTAGAAATATCTTATGCTATACACTACTGTTACTGTATTTTGTGTTGATAGAATCTTTGTGTTGTAATTTTTTTTTAATTTCTTTTTTTAAGTATTAGCAGGCTTTATTTGACTTTCTTTTATTGGTACCTACTATGTTATGACAGATTTTAAAAAGAACTTAACTGATGTTAATGCAGTCTTTATGTCGTTAACTATAAGCAATGACATTACTGAAGGGAGTCAAACTTAAAATATTATTTATAGATAAACTTGTTATTTTAATTTTTTAGTTAATAATGTGTTTTTATTGATATAAATGAATTAATTACTAATAACCCATATTACGGAATGCTTAGTGCTAGTTACTATTTTTACTATTTTTTTTTTACTATTATTATTTGACCATTGTTTTTTTTAATTTTGTAACGGTTTTTTAATTGTAATTTTAAACAATTTTTTGCTTGATTTAAATATATGGCTGATGAGTGCCAAAAATGACATGAAACTTTAACTACCATAAAAGTTTTTTTTTCTTATCTAACCTTTTATTTAATTATTAATTGATATATTTTGTAATTATTTCACTTTATATTCTCAAATCGAAAGAGTTGATTATTATCACATAATGGAAACGATGATATGTATCGACTTTTATCACATAATGGAAACAATATATATATATATATATATATATATATATATATATATATATATATATATATATATATATATATATATATATATATATATATATACATATATATATAAGCCATTTCTTGTTACATGATATATTTATAAATATATAAATTGATTTCAATAAAAAAGGCAGCATATAACTATTTATAGAAAAGTTAGAGAATCCCTGGAGATAATAAAGTAAGAGTTCGACACGGTATTGGGCAAGTTGTTCTAAATAGAGATGACGAGGATAATGTGAAAACAAAAACTTAGGGACCAATTTTGAGAAAAATTTAACTGACGTCACTATTATATTATTTGATTGGTTTTTATATTTTACGCTTTTTAATGTTTTCTTTTTTAAACAGTTGGTTTTATGTTGTTTTTTTTATTATTATGACGCTGACCACAATAGGTTAGCAAAATATCGTTAATATATTATTATATATAAATATATTTATAAAATAGTTATAGCCTGCATTTTTTATTGAAATCAATATATATATATATATATATATATATATATATATATATATATATATATATATATATATATATATATATATATATATATATATATATATATATATATAAACAGAATAAAACATTTACCTGATTTTGTTATTTTAATTGAATCAACCTTGCATAGATTCATTTTCTCTGAATCGTCAATGCTTGTTGTCCAAATTTTGTCACCAATTTTTATTTGATCTGCATGTTTTACTTTATAACAATCAGTATAAACAAGATGTTTTGATGATAGAGTGACAAAACTTCCGTTTTTGCAGCTTATTTTAAGAAAAATTGTTTTTTTGGTATCATTTTTGTGTGCAAGCATGTAAACTGTGGAGTATATAAATTTCTTAGTTTTGGTTTCAAATGATAAAACTTTATCGCCAACATTTATATCCTTGATTAATTTGGTTACAGGATAACTTTTCATTACAATTACTTTTCCATTTCCTGAGAAACAACTGTTGTTGTCAGGTTCTGCATCATTTGCAGCAGAAATACGGGTATCAGGTGTTACAGCAATACTACTTGTATTTCGTTTAATAGAAGACTGTTTTCTTTTTGATATTCCAAGCATATGTTCTAAGGCAGTTTGACAAGTTTCACCTTTTTTTTTATTTATGCGAGAAACAAAATCTGCAATAGATTGAAGTTTTAATTTCGTTTTTAAAACAGAAGGCTTAAAAGTTAAAGAAGCTTTCCAAGATTTAAATGGGCTTGAGGAACCAATTGTTTGAATGTTTTTTAAATGCGAAATTTGAGGTTCACACACACCACCAATCCAATTAAGTTCTATATCTGTTAAAGATAGATTAAAATCAAAAATATCACCACAGTCTTGACTTTTTTGAAAGCCGTCTTTCAGTATCTTTAGGCCATATTTTAGTTGATCTTTAATCGCTTCTTTATCAATCTGGTTTGAATGAATTTTTCTTAATTCAACACTCCCTCCTAAATTTGCTGACATTACAATGTAAAACCCCCATCTCTCAAAAAAATTTCTAAAAAATTCTGTAACATTAGAATCATTTGCTACAAAACGGGTTGGAAAATCAGGAGTAACAACAGCTTCCACAAAAGAATTGGATAATTTGAGTTTACTGGCATCAGGTATGCACAATTTGTGAGTGCTAATTTCATAAAAATATGACCAATTTGATTTAATAAATGAACCATTTAAAATATTTTTCTTGCTTAAAAGAAAATTGGGATCTACTTTATCACCTAATCCAATTGCATTCAGTCGTTGTGTTGTAAAAAGTTCTGAATCTGGTCCCAAAAAATATGAAGTCTTGCTTTTATCACAAGTGATATCAAAACCTTTTTTAATATTAAACTGTTGGTTGTTTTCTTCTTGATTTTTTTCTGATTCTTCTAATTCAAAGATACTGGTCTCTTTTATTTTGTCGTAAAAAACATCATAACCTTTTCCAACAAATATTTCGCCCAAAATTTCTGCATCACCAGAATAGGATTGTGACTGTAAAAGTAATCATATTTTAGTAAAGTAAAAAAAAATCATTTAAAATAATTAAATGTAAATAAATTAAAATATTTTTTTTTATTTTAAAAATTTCTTAACTTTAATTTTATAGTTTAATTTTTAAAAAAACAGAGTTTAATTCTTAAAGTTAAAGCCTAAAAAAATATTAAAAACAATTTCATAAGTAATTTCAAAAAACTGATGTGTTACAATCGAGACAATTAAGTTGAAAAAATTTACATTTTTTTAAATTTATATTTTTTTTACAATATTTATTTATAATAAAATAACTAAAGAAACATTTACACAAAAACCGTTAAATAATTTGAAAAGTTTGCTTATCTTTTTACACAGAAAAAATATTAAAAAATCATTCGCTATATTCAGTTTTCTATAATCCTTTTTAAATTTCTTTAAAAAAGTGAAATTACCTATACAAATGTTTCCATTTTTTGATTGAACAACAATGAACCCCAAACAGTACAACCATTTAGTGAATAAGAATAAAAAAAAAGAATAAAATTGCTTAATAATTGGCAGTTGCTCATCGACTTGCTAAATAGCATGAGCCTACTAAAGATATTTTACAAGAACATTGGTCACAAATTTGTCTTTTACTTTTATTGCTTAAAATTTTTTGTGTTTTAAAAATAAAAGCGAAGTATGAAAGTAGCTCGAAAATGTTGTGAGAATGTTAATATAGTGGCGTGAAAGCATAAAGAAATGAGTAGTGTGAAAATATTAAGGAAGTATTGCTAAAATGTTATGAGAGTGATGTGTAAAAGTTAAGAAAGAGCTGTGAAAGTGTTAAAAGTAGCACATGTTTTAAGGAAGAGCTATGAAAGTTTTAAAAGAAGTGTATGTGTTAAAAAAGAAATGTGAAAGTGTTAAAACTGGCGAAAGTGTTAAGAAAGAGCTGTGAAAGTGTTAAAAGAAAAATAAAAATCATAAGAGAGAGGAGTGACTTAAATGTTAGTTCCTGAATTAAAAAATACTTGAATATATATATATATATATATATATATATATATATATATATATATATATATATATATATATATATATATATATATATATAATTAAATTTCCACTTACCATTGAATCGTCGCTAATCTCAGCATTTTTACAAATCTCATTGGTTTTAATTGTATATTCACTTGAAGATGCTTTAAAAAAACTTGCTAACGTTTGATAACCAAGAGGATCAATATACTCTTGTCCCACTGGTTTGTTGTCGTTACCTTCCATTAACATTTTTGCACAATTAAATACGTTTAGAGGCTGAAGAGTACCATCTGATAGTACAGTCCAGTCTCCTTGCTTTTTCAAATTTGTATAGTTATTGTCAATGTAAGCTACAGATACTGTTACTTCAAGCATATCAAAGCATAAATCAATTAACCTTTTGATTTTTCCCTCAATATTTTTTTTTAAATCATTTAAAAAATATGTTGCGTGAGTAAAAAGACAAATAACATTGCAATACGTCGGACAAACTATATCAAGCTTTTTGAGCTTTGTAAGAAACTTTTTTAATGGACCTTTTAAAAACCGAGTATCAGTTCCTTGAATTACAATAAAAATTAGATTGGGATAATAATCTTCAAAATTTTTTTTTCTATATTCTTTTAAAGCATTATAGTTTTTTTTATCTTGGTTGTCACCATCATCATCAAAAAATCCTGGAGTGTCAACAAAGATTAGTTGTAAATTAGAAACATTAAGTGAAGGCTCTTTCATAGTCAAAACAACCTCTTGTATTTCTCTAAAAAAAAAGAATTTGAAATTCTTAAAAAATTGTTAAAAATAATTAAATTAATAGCACAATTAAATCATATATTTCAAATTATTATAATAAAGATCCTAGCCAAAAACTCTTAGCCAAGACCTTTTCTGATCATACAGTGCTGTATTAAAGCCACACCTTTCTCAAAAAAATATTTGTTATTGCCTTAATTTTTACAAAGAACAGAAGGACTGAACTGATAAAATGTGGCAATGTGATAAAGTGCAAGTTAGTATATAAAATAATACTCTTGAATCATGGCTGGGCAATTCACTAGATTTAAACCCAGCAAAAAACATTTGGATAAAATTGAAAGCAGAAGATTCTAAACAAAGCTCAATTATACTAGTAGATCTGAAAAAAGTTATAACAAAGCTATGGTTTTGATCAACAATAACAACAATATAAGCTGATGGATAAAAATAAAATGACTTGGTCAGAAAAATTTGTAATTTAATTTGATCAGAAATAAAACTATTTGGTTTTGGCTTTGGGTGAAGAAGATTGGTTGAGAACAAAAAGAAATGTGATTGAGTGAAGTGCTGATGAATGTGATTAAGTCTTTGTGAAGGAAAATAGTCATCAACACTATGAAAATTGTAACAGAATTTAAATAATGATTGTAACAGACAAATTTAAATTAGTCTTACAAAGAACAAATAGGAGAGGTTAGTTTTCCAAGAGGTGAGATTCAATGGATGGAAAGTTACTAATAAGCCAACAAATACTTAAATCAATTATTTGTTTTAAATTAATTGAGCACTTGAGTTACTGCATTTACCCTAAAAATAACACCCTGCATTGGAAAGGAAGAATTCAATAATCTTAAATATGTTTCCAAATACACCATAAAAAGAAAGATTATGGAGGAGGCTAGCTGACAAACTCAATTAAAAGCATTTCAAATGTCAAGAGCAAAGCCTTAACCTCTCTAACTTTATTTAATGCATGATAAAACTTATTGATTTTAACTGTTAGCAAATCAGCTCACAATAGTCGGAAACATCACTTTTCTTGGCCAAAACTATTAAAACTATTAAAATAACGGAATTTTTAACTGGAATTTGAATTTGCAGTATATTTTAAATGTTTTTGTATAAAATAATGAATTTTTTTTTTTTAAATTATAAACACTTAGAATTAAAATTTTTAAAAAAAAAATTTTAATTCTAAATGTTAATAATTTTTTTATGAGTTTTTATCTTTTTAGTTCTAAATTAGAAAATATACGATACTTACAAGTAAATATGTTGTTTCTGGAAATTGAAAATATGATTTACACACGTATTTACGAAAATATTAAAATTTTATTAAACTCTTTAATTTAAATACAATTCATTATCCAAAAATGTATTTTCCTCTTCATGTTGTTCTGGATAATCGTCCTCGCCGCCATCCATATTTTCTAAATTCTCAGTCGCACATGTTTCACCGATATCCTCACAATACAATAATTCCTTTACTTCTGGTGGCAGTGTTAAACGCTTCCTTTGGTGCACACGTGTATTTAAGCGAAGAGATGAAATTAATGGATCCGATGTGTCAAGAGCTCTACGAAATACATCCAAAAGATTATCAATGTGGCTAGTCTTACGTGCATAGTGCAGTTTGTCGCTTTTATATATTTTGTTTCGTGACTCAGCTGCATCCTCTCCGAAGTAACCAACAGGAAGTGCTGTATTCTGCATTATTTGCTTTGAGTGAACTATAACTTTATGTACTGTGGGAGTAATTGGCAACCAGGGGTACTTGCTTTGATATAATTGACCAGTTTGAAAGCAATACTCTTCAAATTTATCCAAACTTAGGGAAAATTGACAAGATAAACATGTTAATATTATTCTCATTCGAAATATGAATTCGGTGTCTACTCCTAAAACTTTCGAAAATTTATCATATTCCATAGATGCTCTACGCGATAAGTTGCCGTCATTTGTGGAACCACAACTTTCGGAAAATCAACACAAAGTCTCAGTTCTTTCCAAAACTTATTCTGAATATATTCTTTTTTTTTCTTAATTGCATCTTTATCTTCATCCGATCTTATTTGCCATTTTTTTACTTCTATCTTGTATCCTAAATGTAGTACGAACTCAAAAAATCTAATCCAGCAGTGCAGTGGACTTATTCCGTACTTTAGATTTTCATCGATAGGATGAAATTTTACGCTGTTATAATCTGTGACTTTAAGAAAGTCAGTTTGGGTTGCATGGCATATTGGACATTTTTGATTTGATTTTGTATCGGTTAAAACATTCAAAACTTTTCCATCTATAACAGTTAAAAACAGTCTGAACGTTATTTCGATTATCTTACCAGCTTCGATTTCAACACGTAAGTTTTCAAGCTCTTGAATTTGTTTATTTAAGTCAGCAGCTTCTCTTGTTATCACTTCCTTTGTTTCACTTGTGTACTCTAATTTTAAAGGCCGAAAAAATTTTCTGGACTGCAGAAAACAATTATTCCAAATCACATCCAAATCAGGGCTCCCGCGCTACTCAAGAGTCTCAAGGTAATCACTGTTATGGCCAACAGACATGAATCAGCATTTCGTGATGCACTTTGATCAAGGAAAGATAGGTTATATTGAGATTGACCAGAGATGCTGTCAAAACAGTAGCTAAATATCATTTCCGTTGATATAAAGTTACCCGTAATTGTCGCAAATACTTCCTTTTGCATCACTATAATTCTTTTAGCCATATTCATTAAAAGCATTTGTAAAGGAACCTTTGCACATTTGTCGTCTACAAGTATACCATCGGGTCTGCACTTACTTTTTATTGCTAATATATTATCATAGGGTCAATATTGGCCAATATTAAAATACCAATATTACCCCATTATTGCTGACCTGCTCTTGCAGCCAACCTTCAACCTCTGTCACATCGCCGTAATGTTGCTTCTCTTTTTTTTTCTACAAACACTATAATGGGCACTGCTCTAAAGAGCTAGCGTCTCTTGTGCCATCTACTAAAATTCATTCTTGTGTTACTTGTCATTCAATTAAGTCTCATCTTTTTTCTGTTACTGTTCCTAAGTGCTCCAAAAACTCTTATTCATCTAGTTTTTTTCCTCAAACATCAGTTCTTTGGAATTCGCTTCCTTCATCTTGCTTTCCTGATTCATATAATTTGCAATCTTTTAAGTCATCTGTCAATCGTTTTCTTGCTCTACAACCTTCATCTTTTCTCTTCCAGTAACTTCCAACACTAATTAGTGGTTGCTTGCAGCCTTGTTGGAAGCAAAGATGTTAATAAAATAAAAAAAATAAAATGTAAACAATAGCATCTTTTTACATAAACTGACATCCTTATGTCATTAATTTTTTACAAAAAGAAAATCAGATTTTTAAAATAAAAATTTTAAGTTATGAAAAGAAAAGAAGTAGGAGAAGTAATTCAACAGATCAGGAAACAATCAGGAGTGTTTAAAATTTATTTTGAAACAGATTATATCACGTGGTAAAAGTAATGAAGTGGTAAAAGTAATTTTATTCAAAATTTACAGATTAAATCACACTAAGAATATATATATATATATATATATATATATATATATATATTATATATATATATATATATATATATATATATATATATATATATATATATATATATATATATATATATATATATATATGTATATGTATATGTGTATATATATATATATATATATATATATATATATATATATATATATATATATATATATATATATATATATATATATATATATATATACACACACATAAATATATATACTATTGACCCCCCCCCCCCATACACACATTTATAAATTTATTACAAGATAATTTTGCAATAAAAAGTTTTTTTTATGTCTTTTATCTTATATAGATTTTTATTTTATCCAATAGTTTAATGCAATGTTATAGGTAATAAAAAAATCAATAAGTTAAACTAGATCTGCTAAATCACATTATATTAGTTAACAAGATTAAAGTAAAATTCACGCAATAATGCTGAAAACAGTAATAAATTATATAAATGCAACTTTAAAAATGCAATAAACTTTAGTGAGGATTGACGCTTAGACATAAGCTTTAGAAAATAAAACTAATATAGAAAAATTATATCTAGATATATCAAAAGCCTTTTACACATTTCACAACTATCTCCTACTTCTAAAAATAAAACCTTATAGAATAGATGACAAACTCTACAATTGGATTGAATGCTACCTAAGAGATTGGTAGCAGAGTATCAGTGTTGGTGGTACATACTCAGAATGGATAATAGTAAATAGTGGAGTCCCTCACTATTTACTTTTAGATTTTTCTGATTTGGATTTAGATGTTGTATCTGTATTTGCAGATGATACTATGTTATACAATTTGCTTTCTGAAAGCTCATCATGCAATAACCTGCAAAAAGATATGAACTTTATAGCAAACTGGGTAAAATTATGAAAACTAAGTTTTCATATGATGTAAAAAAATGTAAAGTTATGCCTTAGGACCAACAAACACAAAATTTATTTATATGCTCGTCGATACAAATCTTAATACTTCAATTAATCTTAAAAACTCTCTCCTCAATAAAGGCTTTGGGATCTTCGTTGACAGTAATTTGACTTTTCTCTTATTTTGTAAATACAAAGAATAACACTGCCGATAAAATTGTTGAAATGGTCAAAAGATCATTTGCCAATCTCAATATCTTGACATTTCGTACTCTGTTTATTTTCCTTGTTCGTCCTCACCTTGATTCTTGCAGCTCTGTCTACTATCCTAGGCTTTAAAAAGATCAACAGTTAATTGAAAATGTTCTACGCAAGTCTAGTAAATCTGTTTTTGGCCTGACTGGACTCACTTACAACCCAAGACAAGCTTGAGCCATCGTTTCTTACGTAATGACATGACAGAAACTTACAAATGCATTTGCAATCTTTATAAATGTAGTTACAACCTTTCATTTCCTCATTAAATACCATTCAGTAATTTATCCATCAACATCTGC